TCGGCCTTTGGAGCTCTGTGGGCGTGCCGGAGAGCGGTAGGAGCACTTGGAGCCTGGGGCCAAAGATCATGCAGTGTATATAGGGTACCATGGTGGTGCCTATGCTCAAGTACTTAGGCCACCAGACCGCACTAGAGGGCGTCTATAATGCCGCCCTTCCTATAGAAGGTCAGCAATTCCTTTAGCCCAATACCGTGCACAGATTCCGGATCGACCAGGAATGCTCCGAATACTCCAAATCTTGCCATGTCAAAGCAGGGCGAGTGGTGAGCAGATGATACTCCGGGTCGTCTCCAATGCTTAGCAAGCCAAGATGCTTCCTAAGCCTGCCATGTCCTGTGTAGGCAGTGGCATGGTGGCCGGGGACCAAAAGAGCAGGAGCAAGGCTAGTTCTTGGCAAACTGCAGAGATTTGCTTGTCACTGTATAACGGGCGCCATGAGCACGCAGGAGGGTCCTAGAGGCTCTGATGGGTTTGCTCTCTCTGGCGGATCGGGTGCGGATGGAGGCGGCCCGGACGGCTGTCAGGCTAGCGAGCTGCGGGCTCTGGAGAGAGGGAACCTTCAATCGGGGCCCGTACGACAATTTAGAGGGCTGGACCTTTCTCTTCCCATCAGGGCAAGGGTGGAGAGAGGGCAGATTTGGCTCCTGGGATGGACGTGAATGAGAGATTTGGCCGGAGCTGCGAGACAACGGGATCGAGCTTGTCGGTCCCTCTGGGTCAGTACTGCACTTTGTTTCAGGCGGAAATTTTCGCTATATTGATGGCGGCCAGAGAGGTGCTTCGGCTCAACCACGGAGGCAGGGGAGTATTCTTCTGCTCTGATAGTATGGTGCTGAAATCCGTGCGCACGCGCTGCTTGTTGATAAAGGAGGTGAGGAATGTCACGTTGGTCATACCTTTATCCGGGGCAATGAGGCAGCGGACGCCTTAGCCAGGAAGGGCTCCTCCCATAGGCATATGGGACCAGAGCCCCGCTTGGGCATCGCCCCGTGTGTGAGGCGGGGAGCTCTCGAAGCCTGGACGAGTGACCGGGCCGCGGAGGGCTGGATAGTTGCTCCGGGAATAAGGCAGGCGAGGCTTATGATGGATGGGCCCGCCCTCCCTCGGACCAGGAAGCTGCTTAGACTGACTAGAAGAGAGTGTAGAACACTAACAGGAACCTACACAGGACATTGCAGGCTTAGAAGGACATCTTTGCTTGCTAAGCATTGGAGACGACCCGGAGTATCATCTGCTGACCACTCGCCTTGCTTTGACTGTTGGCCTGAGTACTTGGAACCCGCGTGGGCGCCTCCTTTAAAGTGTTTACCTAGTTTTTTAAATACCACAGAATTTATTACTGTTCTGAATTTAAAAAACTTAGTCCAAATGAAAGGTTAAACGCAGCTTTTGGATAAACTGTTTAAGTACAAAGGATTGTAAATCTACAGGTTGTAGAAGGTGTGGTAAAATCCATCACACGCTTTTGCATTTCCCAAACAAGGATTTCACGCCAAACACTGTTGCCACAACTACACCCAACGATAGCGACAGTGCTACTTCTACTAATTGCAGCACTTCTGTTACACTGACTGTCAACACATAAATTAATATTTAGGTTTTACTTTTCACTGCAGTCAACAATTTTTGGCATATCTGGAACTCCACAAAATTGCCGAGTTTTGTTTGACAACGGCAGTCAATCTAATTTCATTTCACAACGTTGCTGTGACATTTTAAATCTACCCAAAACTAAAGTTGACATTAATCAACCAATTGGATTATCCCCTAAAATTACATGGTCTCTGTTGAGATTAATTCCAAAACAAACAACTTTCGGAGTACACTTTCATTATTGAGGCTGCTCAATATAACCGGAAATATTCCTGCGTTTCCAATCAACAGGGAAACATTAACAATTCCAAATAATCTCACACTTGCTTCACACTTCACCAACCTGCTCCAGATTTTCGGACCTCTTGTGCATTGGTCAAATCAAACTAGGGACAAATGATCCAATATTACAAAAAAAACCGGTCCATTAGTTAGATCTAACACACTCCTCAAAAACTTACCTTTCAATTGATCAAACTTTACGAACTGAACTAACGAAATTCTGGGAGTTAAAAAAATATCCAAAAACTACATTTTTTTCTAATGAAGGAACCTATTGTGAAAATCACTTCAAACTTAGTAGTCACGTTGCCATAGAAGGACTCCATCTCAAGGCTTGGAGATTCGTAAGCAATAGCAACCAATCGATTTCTCAATTTACAACGTAAATGAAATAAAAACCACAATTTGAAAACTCAATATCATGAATTCATCAACGAGTATTTAAAACTCAATCACATGTCACTTGATGAGAACTAACAAAACAGTTCAGGTTAAGGAGAGTTCAACAACGACCAAATTACGAGTTGTATTTGATGGTTCTTCAACCATACCAGACAATTTATTTAACATCCTTCTGCGATTCAGACGACACAACCTTGTTTTAAGTGCACACATTGATAAGATGTATGGGCAAGTGCTCATAACACCCAATCAACGCAAATTACAAAGAATTATTTGGCGTTTTAACCCCGATGGCGAGTGTCTTGTTTACACGACGTTGCTCATCGCCATAAAAATGATTTCCCAAAATATGCTCCATCATCCTTTGAGACTAATGGTGACACTAAAGAAGAAGTCCAAGAAATAAAGGATAAACTATCCAAATACTTGAATGATTACGGTTTTCCACTTCGAAAATGGTCATCAAATGACATATCAATTCACTCAAAGTCCGAATTCAATATTCTTCAGATCGGAGAAGAGCAAAACAAAACACTGGATTCAAAACACGTTAATGCTCAATATCCTATCAATTCACGACCCAATGTCAAAGTAACTAAACGACAAGTTCTTTTTATAATTTAACAAATTTTTGATCCCCCTCGGTCTTCTGTCACCAGTAACGATTTCTGCTCCAATCATACTACAACAACTTTGGAAACATTTCCTGGGACGAATCAGCACCCATTGATCTTTACTACACATGGTCAAAATACCATTCGCAGTTGATTCACCTGAATAAGGTAAAAATTCCAAGACATGTACTTTGCATCAATCCAATTTCTATCCAGTTACATGGATTTTCTCACTCATCTGAAAGGGTTTATGGGGCCTGTATTTACTTACCTTGCACAGATAACTTGGAAACGTAACTTCCAAACTTCACTCTGCAAAAACCCGCGTTGCACCATTAAAACAAATTACCATTCCAAGAATGGAACTTAGTGTTGCGTTGTTGCTAACTTAACTAGTATTCAAGAGTAATTTCATCAATCAACATCAATTCCCAATGGGTAACTTATTGGTGTGACTCGACCATTGTTATTTCATGGATATCATTATCTCTATTAAAAAAACCTTTGTAGCCAACAGGATATCACAAATCTTTCCGAATCAGAACATACGCACACAAATACCTTGTAAAAAGGCAACTATTTTGTCAGAGCTGCGACAAAAAACTTTAATTTCCACGACTCATTCCTCGATTTTTGTCTTTGTTGAAACTCAAACGAGTATTTGCCTATGTACATAGATTCATAAACAATACTTGTAAAGAAAAAAATGCACGTACTTTTTTAATTCGACTGGTACAGATTGGAAGTTTCCCTGATAATTACCAAAGACTGTCCTCGAACTCCAAACTTGACAATAAAAGTAAACTTTTAAGTTCAAACCCGTTCTTTGATTCAACCACTCGAACCATACGAGTTGGCGGAAGATTTCACAATTTGACTTTTCTAAAAAAGCCCCTTTCGTATTACCGTCTAACCATCATGGTTGCACGAGAGAAACATTTTGGCCACTGTCCGGTCGTAATCTTATTAAAAGGGTTGTTCATGAATGCTTACGATGTTTTCGTTTCAATGCCATACCCGAACAATCATGGGAAATTTACCGGCCGCACGAACAACTTCTTTTCGTTCTTTTTCTATTTCTGGCGTCGATTTTGCTGGACCTTTTCTACGTCGAGTTAGAGAGAATCCATCTAGAGGTTGTTTCTGACCTAACTACAGAATGTTTTTTAGCAGCCCTTAGGAGATTTATGGCAAGACGTGATAAATGCTAGCAAATATTATCTACTTTTGTAGGCGCAAATAGCAAAATTCGACAATTCTTTAACGTCAACAATAAACAGATTTCTGATTCTCTATCGAATGAGGACATTCTTTGGAAATTCACTCCACCAGGCGCGCCCCACTTTGGAGGCATTTGGGAAGCCGGTGTTAAGTCGGTGAAATACCACTTAAAGCGAGTAATTGGCGGCTTATGTTTAAATTTTGCAGAACTTTGCACAGTTCTCTATCAAATAGAGGCATGTTTAAATTCCAGACCACTTTATCCTATGACCCAAGATCCTAACGACTTTAACATTTTAACCCCTGCGCACTTTCTAATTGGCGAAATAATGAACAGCATACCAGACTGCGACTTCGCCAAGTTGAAGGAGAACACTCTCCCAAGATTGCAACGCATGCAGAAACATTTTTGGTCGAGATGGTTAAAAGATTATATATCAGAACTTCAGCAGCGAGTAAAATGGCGAGAAAACAAAACACAACTACTAAAACCTGGATCCCTAATGATCATAAAGGAGGACTTCCTTGAAGTGGAGACTAAGAAGAGTAGTTCAATTATATCCAGGTACAAATGGAGTCACACGGACTGTTACTGTTCAAACAACTTCAGGTGTTCTGAAACGACCAGTGATAAAATGCTGTGTTTTACCCAATCAAGACTTATTTTGTAACAGTGAAATTATTTCTTTTGAAACATTGGAGTGTTTCAAGGGGGCAACTTGTGTTGGTGCAAATGTGACTAAATTCATATTTAAAATCACACGCCGAGCGCCAAGCCGGACAACCGTGTCTACCGAACTTGTCCGAACGAAACCGAACAGGATAACTGGGCGCTAAGCTCCCGACAGTGCAATGACAACAGCGATACATATTGCTACGATTGTACTCATTTATTGTTTTTCGCAATAAATACATAAAAACATGAAATTCTCAAAACTTACTGGTCCTTCGATTAGCGCACAACACCGGTACTTTTTGAAGTTATGTTCGGTAAAAATATTCTTGTGCACCAAGCAGGACTTTTTAGGAAGGGACACTTTTTTTCGTCAAGTTTATGATAACAAATTTTCGCATTTGGCAAGAACTTCCGAAGACACGATCATACAAAAATTAAGATCCTAAATAGACTTTTTTTTAACTAACAACAAAAATTTTAAAAATCACGCTTAGAGTTTTGTTGACCAAAAGAGAAACTATTATCAGAACTAGTGGTCACAAATATCACAAATATTTGTTTTTCCACAGAGGTTTGCAGATCATTTAAAATTAAATTAGAGGAATATCAATACAATCATTAGAAAAGATATATATTTGCATAAATCTATCAAAAGCATTTAGTAGGGTATATCATCAAATTTTCAGAGAGAGAAGACGGAGTATTGTGGCATATTTCTAAGGGCCGAAGTAATAAAATAAACAATTTTTAGGTGTATCAGAGTTCTATTCCTGTTCCAACTAAACAAATCTTCACAGGTTTTGAGTCAATATCGTTAGGGGGATGTGGCAAATGTCTTGAATGTACATGAAATCAATTAGAGACATGGTTTAAATCAAGCAACTCGCTATCAAACACAAGTACAAACGTCATATAAATTTCATAAAATTACACTCAATGTCAATGCCAATGCGATTGATATTTGACGATCTTGCTGATATTCTGGTCGTTTAAGCAAATTAGCTTATGCATCGTGTCTGTGAATTTCGTTATATTTGCAAATTGTACATAATCATGAAAAAAATAAAGAAATATTACTACTACTAATACGGAGACTTCATAATAAAATAGTAGAACATGTGCTTAAAAAATAACCACGTTATTCGTTCACCGGGTGATTTGGTTGCGAAAGTCTTGAAATTTTGAATACTTTTGGAACTTCGCATCTAGATTAAGCTTTCGAAATATTGAGATAGAGCAGCTTTTTTCCAATATCACTTTTGTCATTCAAACTAAATTTGTAATCCTTTAATATGGTAGCCAGTCCCAGTTTGCTCTGCAGTAAACCAAATCTCAGACCTAAGAAATAATTACATGAAAAACATATCCTGGTAAGAGAAATCATCTATCCTTGCTCACCAATACATTGTCTGGGACCGTCTCCAAATGGTAAAAATAAAACATCGGGTCTGTAATCGGGATTATTTTCGTAAAATCGATCAGGATTAAATTTCTCGGGATTTGGATAAAACTCTGAATCGTAATGATATCCAGTTACAGGCACCCACACTTTTGTACCCTTTTCTATTATCAAATCGGATTCTGGAACTTTATACGTTTTGGTACAACGCCTAGGCAGAACTGGAGCAATCGGGTATTTTCTCATGGTTTCTGGAAATGAACAAACTTAAAATCTGACCAACCTATCACCAGCCGACTATCACTCACCGTTGACAACGTTTTCCAAGTCTGTGATTTCTTGAATCGCTTCATATGACATTTCGTTATTATACTTGGCCAAGCCTTCATTAATGCTCTTCCTAATTTTGACTTGTACGTCTTGATTTAATGATAGTTCATACAAAGCATGCGTCATGACATCCGAAGAAGTTCCAAACCCACCAATGAAAAACACAAAGCATTGCGCCGCTAACTCCATAAAGGTCATGGCAGATTGTTGTGTTATTTTCACAGACAAATCACCATCTTCCTTAACTTGCCCTTGGTTTTTCAATTGGAGCAGTAGTTGCAAGAAATCTTTGCGAATCACATTGTTTTTTTCTCTGTAGTCTATATTACTCTTGACAACGTTCACGAAAAAATCTTCAACGTCTTGGTCCATACCTTTCAGACCAATTGCAGTAATGACTGCATTTGGAAGGAGCATCATTAATAACATTTTTGTCAGCTGAGTGAAGGAGAGAGTTGGTTCCGCTGACCTCCGTCCGTACACCCTGAAGTCGGAATTTGGGTCTTTTAAGCTGTTGCAATCGATTCCAAATGCGCAACTGCCTATTATGTCCGTGGTAAATCTCGCAAGCACGTCTCGCATTTCAACCGGCTCGTCAGATATAGAAATATTTTTCATAACATCACTCAAAACCGATGCGCACGTCATCATTGTGTGATACATCATTTTGATTTTACCTATATATTTAAAAAATTGTTACAAATCTACCTCATTAATCGGCTAAAACTAAAACTCACCGGATGTAAAAGTTGGAGTTAACTTTTGTCTCAACGCTCTCCATTTCGGACCTTCCAACATGAAAAGATTCGCACTCAACGGGTCAGTTTTTTCATTGAAATACATCCCGTGATTCATGAAAGAGTCGAAATCTTTGATCAATATGGTTTTACTCAACTGCGGGTCTATAACGAATAATATATTTTCTACGGGGGAATACAATCCTCCGTATTTCACTTGATTGCTTTTAAAATAATCATAGTTTTCTCGAACAACATCCCACATGTGCCTTTTATTTAGTAATAAATCTTTTGAATTGCCGAAAAACCAATGCGTGGATTCAAGCTGTAGCACATTTCTTCTTTTCCAATAGTTTCTCCTCCATTTATTGTAGAACACTAATATGGCCAGCGTTAGAACGGCCACTATTGCCAACATTATGAATAAATTATCTAAAACTAATTAGCACAAGATCTAGTAAGAAATCATGAAGTTTAAATATTTTCAATATGATTTTAAAATGAAGTTAAAATATTAAAACCTCGAAAACAATTATCAACAATCTTTGAAGCTACTATTCGCAAATTAAGAAAATTGCATTTTACTTACCCGGTCAACAAATTGATTGAAATAAAGGGTAATTAATTGCCACCTTTTATATCACAAATCAAGTATTTCCTTTATCTATGATTCATTGTAACCAAGAGGAGATAAATAAATTGTCTTTATTTTTATTAGATAACAAATTATGTGCATCAATTTAGTATTACACGATTTCTTATACGGAGGTTTCACGGAATATTTTCCTTTGTTAGACGCCGCCAAAAAATAAAAAGAAAATGTCCTGAAGATTCATTTAGTAGCTGAGAATTATCAAATAAAAAAATTAACGCTTGTTCGGTTCCGAATGATCAAAAATATGCAGAAAATGTAGGTACTATGACTTTACGTCGACATCGGGTAAGATTAAAGTTAAAATTTAATTTAATTAATTTAGATTAAACAATAAAAATGCACTTTCGCTATGATTACAATTATTATTGTAGAAAATCACATGCATACAATGTCTGACCCTCCGAAGTGGCTGGATGTTGTTTTCAACCGAAACCTAAATTGGGATGAGCCCAATGCGATGGATTGATTCCATGGCTAAATAAATATTCTTTGAAATGAAATCGATTAACTAGAGATCAAACTGCTTTTAAAAACCCCCAATGTTGACAATCCTGGTTTCTTTATCCCTTGCATTTAAAAATCATTAAATTGAAACTGTCAGCTATTAAACACTCATTCCGATGCGAAATTTTTGAGTAATTTACTCTTTTAAAATAGTAAATAATCAAATTCTTCTCTATCTGAGAACTCATACCTGTGGTGGAAGATCTATAAAATGTCATTGTTGTTTACAACCACATGCTACAACTTATCCAACATTATGTATATACGTTGCAAACTAATTTAAAATAATAAAAGATCGCAAAATTAGCAATTTCAATAGTTTATGTCAATTGTAAACTCGATATCCTTGAACTATTACTAGGTCAACTTATACCTCAAGAAACTCTCTTCAAAAGCGGCAATAATGACAAAATCATTAACTATATGCCAATATCAATGCTCTTAGTTCTTGCTAATATATTAGAGCATCTTACATTTCTGAACAAATATTAAATACTCTCAGACTTTCTGTACGGATTTTAAAAGGATCAATAAACACACAATACTATCCAGTTTTGAATACCAAATTTTGTAATATCAAAAGATCTCGATAATGTTTTTTAGGGACAAATCTTTATTTTACTTTTAATTGTTGTTATTTGTGAAGGACCCGAGAGTAACACAGTATGGCGTGCCCCAGGGCACTTTTCAAGTTTCTTTTTGCTTTGTACATAAATGTACATATGCTATAATTAACAATAAATAAAAAAATCATTAGCTAATTTAATGATACGCTCTGATTCTTTGGTATTACATAAATTGTTGATTAGATTTGATTAGAAGATATCGTAACTCTGAAGTCTACAAGCACAATATAATTAATCTAAACTTTGAGAATACGCGACTTAGAGTGTTAAGTGAAAATATTTCTAAACAAAAGAAAAAAAGTAGAAATAAATTAAATATCTATGTGCAAAAAGTTATAATTTATTTGCAAAACGATATTTGTCAGTTCTAGCCATTACAATATTTAACAATATTATGCAAAAAATATCACTTTTTAAATGTTTTCAATTCTATTTACAAACTTATGATATTGGGTACTCCATATCAAATGGGTTTGGGAGCAATCCGGTCATGTCAGTGAATGCATTCGTGTTGTTTTGCAAAAATGTACCCAAAAACTAAAGGTGGTAGAAAAAGTGTAGTATACAACATGTTCGGTAAAATTTTAAGTAACTTGTTTATTTCATACTCGGTACACTGGGCCCCGCTCTTGTCAAATAAACTCGTGACTCAAATGCCGTTTACCGCACTTGTTGTATGATGTACTATTACTAAACCAAAATGTCCGCTAAGAACAAACAGAACAGCAGAAATTCGGAATGCAATCCGTAAGGCATGCCGAACGCGATATAAGTAGATTATGATTTAACCCTACATACTGAGTCCTAGAACAGGTGTACACACCAAAAAGTTTTACTAACATTGTAGGATGATGTACTTTATCTGGTCGAACCAGAACTTCGTGTTTATTGTATCTATTTGTGTTGTATTACCTAACTTCTCAGCCACATCCTGAACATACGGTGAGAGATTAGTAGCGACGACCATACCCCTGAAAAAGGCATGTTGGGTTTCATAAAGAAGTTTAAAAAATAGCTCCTCTGTTATAACTGCCTTAAGCATTTTCAAAAAAATAGAAATAATTGATATGTGAATTGTGGGAGGCTGATAAACACTAACAAAAAAAGCTGACCCCTCACACACTTTGTTACGTTCACAGCTTTCCTCTCATTTGCTCACAAAACTGCGTTGTTATAAAGATTATTTTTTGTTTATTTGAAGTAATTTTTATCTTGCACACTTATCACTACCCTAACTCTCTTCCTCATTTCAGAAAAAGGTGATATAATCAATAGGGTTATATTTTTTCCATCTTTGAACTTTTTAAGAACCATACTAAAAATATGAAAACTGTGCACCAAATTGTTTATTAAAATAATATATAGCAAACCAAAAGTATGCAATACAAATCTGTTATTTTTGGAGGGTAGTCTGTGTTGTGACGGATGATGATGAACCGTGATGTTCTTGGATGTTTACTATTTCACTATTTACTGCTTTTTTGATAATAGGATTTATCAGAATTACGTTTAAGTAATTACCTTGCTCCATTTTAATTTTTTTTTTGTAAATATGAACTAGAACATTATAAAACTTTAGCTTCCGTTTTAAAACAATCAATGAGCAATAACTGCTGCGACGTGATTAAAAATTATTCCGTTATATCATCCACCCTATGGAAAAATAAAAAAATTTTCAATGGATAATAAGATTTATCAAAATTGTGTTTAAGTAATTATCTTGCTCCATTTTAATATCTTAATATGAACTAGAACATCATAAAACTTTAGCTTTCATCTTAAAACAATAACTGCTAAACAACATGGCACCATGATGCCATTGTTAAGTAATAGAAATATGTCAATATAATGTAATTTTTACGAATTATGGCGATTTTCAGGACTTAGGTGTACAACATTTTAAAGGTAATTGAATTATCGCAGAATATGTAGATCGGTAAATACGCTGAACGCATTTGGAAATGATTTTTAGTTATTTAATTTCATTTGCGACGATCTAATTTGGTTCATTATTTATCAGTTTGATGCTATAATAATTATTTCTATAACGTTTGTTCATTAGATTATGACAAATTAAATACCAATAAAAAACTGTTTTGTTTTGAAGTTACAGATACCTACAACATTTAACACATTTAAATAAAATTTTAAAAAATAGTTTATCTCTTCATAATTTCTTCTGTAAGTTACGTCAATTTTGAAAAACATAAATTAAATGATATTTCATTAAATTGCAAGTTAAATGATATGTCCTATAGTTTTGATAAATCTTGTATGTTGTATGATAGAAACAATAACTTTAAACCTCTCTGTTTATTATGGAATAAATTTATTCAGATAAATCAAATATACGAAGCTTTCGCAAACTGCAACACAAACTTGGTTTTTTTTTGTGGTCGCAGGTAAAGTTTTAGTATCCATATTTTGGAGAAAAAATAAAAATAATTAATATTTCAAAAGCCGCACTAGATAATAAAAATTGATTAAGAAATTCCTAATGACATTATCAATTTGAAGTACTTAAAATCAATATGTCAAAACTCATTAGAGTAACATATTCATATGTATGGTGTTTACTACTCCCCTAGTCTTATAGCACTTTGCAGCAAATTTGCTAATATATTTATGACTAGCGTTTTTACCTAACAACAGCGCTTCGGTGAATATCTGAACGTTTATTTTTCACTCTTGAAACTATATACTATTATTGTATCAAACGTAGTAATAAATGTTGTATGAAGTTTAATTTAACAATACAATTACCGCCAACATCTGTCATAACTAAATGGTCTTTTTTAACTTTAAAAATCGTGTTCATGAATGGTGTAATGTGAGAGTATATTATCGTTTTAGCGTACTATTCACAAAATATCTGGATTCCTCCTGCATCGGTTGATGTTAAGTTCAACTCAACAACAACCGACTCATGGGGAATCCAAAAGTTTTGTAAATAGTATTACAGTAAATTTTTCAAAGAAACTTCCACAGGCTACTGTAATACTTTTTACAAAACTTCTGGATTCCTCCTGCGTCGGTTTTTGCTGAGTCACAGCAACTTTCGGAAACGGAAAAATTAGTTCTTTCAAAAGATTGCAACTTCGTCCTTGTCCCACGTATTATCCCAAAAGAGGAAGTCGTTTCAAATGTCGAGTTTATACTAAATAAACTGCCATCTCAAACAGCTAATGAAATTCGATTTGAAACCGCAAAAATCATTAAAAAATCAAAACCTCTTAAATCCAATATTGAAATGCCTGAACGCATCGCCCTAAAATCTCTAAAATCCAATCGAAACTTTGTAATCCCAAAAGCAGATAAAGAAGATGCTACGATAGTTATGGACACAAATGAATACCAGGAAAAAATTCCAGATATTCTTACAGATGGATCATATCATCAACTTAAAAAAGATCCTACGTCATCTATCTCTATCAAGCTCTGTGAAAAAATCTGTTACCCCTCATGACTCAAAATTCCTCGTCTCTACCGACTCCCAAAGATTCACAAACCAGGATTACCCGACCTATTGTCAGCACCATTGGTTCTGCAACATATTCTCTACCAAAATATCTAGATTACTTATTAAAACCCCTTACAGTTGAAATTAGCAGTTTCGTACTTAATTCCTTTCACTTCATTGGAAAGTTA